TGATTTACACAGTTGAAATCATACAAGAAAGAATTTTTCCCAGATTTATAAGAATTCTACAATTCTTATACAATGTCACTTTCTATCCCTTTTTCTCTCCTGAATAACTTTTTCTTTTTGCACTACATATGGCTCCTATTTATGACCTAAATGAGGCTCCAATTCGGTTATTAATTACCAACAAATAAGACTCCAAGTTGTTGAAGATTCTAACAAACTAACATCAGTTAAAACTGTAAACACAAAACTGATTTTATTCTAACAGCTTTGCGAATGCTAACGTTGTCCTAATTCTTCTTCAAGCATCACTTTTCCTTACACTCTTGAGATTGGATTATTAGCAAGTCATAGTTGACCATCATAGTTCCATGACTCACTTGATGAACTCTTGTCTCCATTGGTAAACAATGAGCTTACCATCGAAAGGTTGGAAATTCAATTAACAAGAGAATTCATTAAGAATCCAAGACTTCGAAGTGCTAAAAAATGTTAATGGTTTAAAAATTCAGATGTAATTTTGCCTTTTTTTAAGAAGTGTATTTAGTTCTTGAAAACAATATGATCAATTAAGCCCATGTTTGGTAATCTTCATTTGAATTTTTTTTTACACAGTCATTTTCAATCACACATTCACACAATAAAATATTCGATACGTAAACTCAAACTTTTTTATAGTTTTTAATCACACATTCTCCTAAAATCATTCTTCAAAATATTGTTTTTTCCAAATATTTTTCATCAAACGGGGGGCTAAGTTCAAAGAATCAAAATGAACTTATTTTAACTTTCAAAAGAATCCAGTCAATTTTGGAAGACTGTAATTTGTGGCATGTCCTCAAAAAATATATGAAAGCGAGAAGTTGCTTAGGGCCTGTTCTCTTTGTCTGTTTTGGGCCGTTTTCTATTTTCGATTTTTCAAAACAGCGAAAACGCGTTCTCTTCCCTATTTTCGAAAACGCGTTTTGGAAAATAAATTTTTTTTTCTACGTAAAACACCAAAGCGACTTTTTTTTCATTTTGGTTGTTTTCAGGCAAAAAGTTGAAAATACGGAAACACATTTTTACTTCTCTCTCCATTTTTCCCCTTTTTCACTTCCTTCCACCGCGACCCACAGCCAAAATCGAAGCAAAACACCACCACCACCACAGCTCGCCACAGCCAAAATCACCACCAAAAAGACCCACCGCATCCCACACCCGTTTTTGGTTGGTTTCTTTGATGGGTGTTCAACAGCTCATTCTCCACTTTCGGCCCTCTTGATCTTTTTCCTCTACTCGTCCCAAGTTGGTGTTGATTATTCTTCTTTTAATTTCATTTCCCATGATTGTTGTTTGGCTAGCGATTCCTGTGATTTACTCTGCAATTATTTGGATTCAATTTCTGTATTTTTTCTGTTGCTTAACTCATTGGACAACTGAAACATCCATAAAAGACTCTTTGTAGTTGCGAAAATGAAGAAATGAATGATCTCTTATGCTTATGCCGATAATATTTTCTTTCTTTTTGTTCCAATAAAATTGAGCAAAGTTATTGCTCAAATACATCTGTGAAATCGCACTCCAGGTGTTTGTGAAGATGTGTGAGCCAAATACATCTGTTAATTATATGGCTGTTTCTAAATGGATTATGTTGAGAAGTAAACTTGATTTTGTCCTTGTCAGCCCAGCTTACTTTGCCGCAGGTTATAATTTTTAGTGCTGTGATTATATGAGCCTTTATCTCTCTTTCGTCTCTAAAAACTGGTTCTTTTTATTCAGCGGGACTCTGCTGGACTGACAAGCCACAACAGTGAGCTGAAATTTCGCCTGCAAGCTATGGAACAACAAGCTCAACTCAGCGATGGTATACCTTTTTTACTTTCTATGTACCATTTCATTTGCTAGTTGAAATATGCTGAGAGACATCTTCTGCTACCAAGTAGCAGAAGCATTACGATCATTTTTTAAATGATCCCATGCATAATTATGGTTGTTATAGCGCACATACCTTTAATTGGGAATTCTATGAATAAAAATGGGCAATTATAGTCTACTCTTTGGTGCTGGCATGTGTACTCGAGTTTCATAATTTGCTGCTTCTTGTTTGGACATTGGTGCCACAACTTGGAAAATGAAAGGATTGTGTCCTTGTTAGTTTCAATGATGGCCAGGTCCCATTAGCTGTTCATGGATCCTTTTCTGCTTGGAATTTTCAAGGAAATGATGAACATCGAGAAAAAAGATACAAGTTCGAGAATCTGTGTGCGATTTATGTTGCCTTTTTCAGTGGAAGGATTTGTGAAGGGATTGTCAAGGACTCAGGGTTGATAATTATTTAATCCATTGCAATAATTGGCAGCAATTGTTCGTAGGGCTTTTAAAATGTTTTATAAAGAATCTAATTTTGAAGTGTTCTCATGAAAATGATCTGGTTATTGGGATTGTACATTGAGCTTCATTCCTCTTCATTGTTAGTTTAGGCTTGTCAGATCAATTTTCTTATTTCAGATGATATGAATATCTTAAAAGGTCACTTATTTATTTGCAGGTCTAAAATGTGATTTATGATATTCCTTATGCGCTTTCTTTGATTATTTTGGTTTTCTTGTGACAGCACTTAATGAAGCTTTAACAGCCGAGGTGCAACGTTTGAAGCTTGCATCTGCTGAACTTAGCGGAGATCCTTCCAAGTTTCAACAGCTTTCTATTAATTCCCAGCAGTCCCAGCAGTTCTAGTTACGCCAACAGCAGGCAACTCGACAGAATATACAACAGCAGATGGCTATTTTGCTCCAGTGAACACGTAATTGTTGTTCATTTTATGCTGCAGAGACATTTTTGTTGTCCATGAGGCCACAGAGTAATACAAGAGGGGAAGTGCAACGATCGGAACAACCATTTGAATTTCAGTTCATGCCCCCCACAGTGCTGCAGAATTTGTGAACTATGCTCCTCTGCTTAATGAGCCAGCTTTGCAGATGCCAAGAACAAGTACAGAACTTGAATCCTTAGTGGAAGATTTGCACCACCTAAAAAATGCAGAATTCAGCAACTCAGATTTGTCGTACAAGATAGTTGTATTTTTGTTTTTGTGTCGAGAAGCTGAAACTATCAATGTAAATTAGTTCCACTTTGCTGGCGGCTTTTTACTGATGATGTAAGACTTATTACTGATGTTTTAATGGATTTTCAGTTGAATGTATCAATTGATATGTACTGGTGAATTCTTTGCTCATGTTTTTGTATTGATGTTCTCATTCATATATTAAGGCTGTTGGATGAACTGGAAAAACCATTAAACTTATACATAAATCAAAAAAATTTTCTTGTTTTTTAACAATACAATCTCTCAATTATATTAACATTAAAC